TTCATGGAAAAACAGTTGAGAAAATTCAAAAATAGTTTGGAGAATTTACTGTTAATCACTGTTAGAGGGTGTTGCACAGTGACACCTTCAAAGAAAACCATAGATATCTTTGTGGTTTGAGAATTTTTTTCAGAACTTTTTGCATGTTAGAGGGTTAGTACAGTAGAAGGAATATAATGAGTAACATTTCATACAAAAAATTGCACTTTTTTCATCAATTTTCAACAGTGTTACCGAGTCACTTTAAAGTTATCTTTCTTTCAAACTGTCATGGCAGTTTTAGAATATGCTAGAAGCACTGACAGGACAGTGATTGTGACCATGGACCTACTACATGTATTACTAATTCGTAGTAGGTCCATGTTGTAACTAGTATGAGCAAAACGGATTGTATATTTCAGTAATCTTCACCATCTTTAATCTCATTTTACAAACCAGGCTATTCACATGATCGGATCGCGGTGACGATGTAAATCAAAGGCACAAACAAAATATTTCAGAAGAAAATCACAAGACCCTGCAGTTAAAAGCAAAACTTGAAATAAAGATCATAAGAAATATTTCAGATCAATCACAGAAATTCTCGATGATACGGACAAGTGTGATTGTAAAATATATAAGAAGTCGTCTATAAAAACTGATTTATGAGATCATAACATTGCATTTTGACGAGAAATGAGTTAATTATAAAACATTTTGTCGACCAGGTTTGAACTATAAATCATTTAGATCATCTGTTCTCCGCCTTGAAAACTACAAGTGAAGGTAATGAGTATATTTTTGTGTTTTATCCAAAAACGTTTCGTGTACTACATGGCAAGCGGTTGAATTGAATAGCAATATTCATAATGGTACAACAAATTAAACCTTACGATTGTCTTTCATTCAAATGTCTATACTTGTTTCAATGTAGATGTGTAGCACATGAATAACAGAATATGACAGATACAATAAAGTACACCCGTAGGAATAAACGATGATGGAAAATCTAATAAAAGTAGCGTAAAATGACATATTTTTGATAGAAAATCCAGCAAAAATGGTTATGAGATTATAATATTATGATATTATAAGATTTTGATATACAGGCCTACATGATTACATGTTATGTATCGACACAATTAATGTGCTTTTCAAAGCAAGTGTAATGCAGAAGGCTTGGTATCGGAAATTGTCTATTTTTTGTAAACAACGAATCCTAGAAATACTAATAATTGATATGGTATAATTCGATGTGGAAACAGTCTGTAACTCCTTTACAGGCTTAAATCAAATTCGAATCTGAATGCTGAGCACTCATGTTTGTACAGTTAACCGAAAGTCTTAGTATTATGGGATAGTGACAATGGCGCCCTGTAGTCCTGTCCTAACCTATACACCATCAGATTGGATGTAAACTTGCCTGATCATGGGATTGTTTAACCTACACCAAATAGCTTCTAAGATAGATTTGTTAGAAGAGTTGATTCTTTATTTCGTGGAGGCACCGAATTTGAAATCGAAATTATTTTTAGTCTTTATGAATTAATAGTTTGGTTGGGAATGGATCCTGTGCCAAACGGTTGTACCCTGTGAACTGCAAGTGCAGCATGTAAACGCCGTCAAGTCTCGGGGAGAGTGTTCTCGCAGTATGGCGTTTTCCAAAAAAACTGCGAAAAGCGGGAAAAGATAATGATTACACATGTACATGCTGAGATTTCTTTTAACGATTCATCATCTACCTCATTATGCCTGTTGTAGCTTGTGATGCCATGATGCAAACTATTCCGAATTTTGAAGGAATGTATAACTTTCTACAATTTCTTTACTCATTTGACAGGAAAAAGGACATTTGAGGGAGTGATTAACTAAGAAGAGAAATGAAACGGATGTTGAGTTATCACGAATGCACGTAACGGGTTTATTGTGATAAGACATACAAACGAAAACAGTTCATGAAAAGAAGTAGTCATATTACAAGAACAAAATAATATGTGTCATATTTCTTCATAAACTATAATCAATCAAAAGCGTTCTCAATTGATACATACTTTCGAATTTCACGGAAACTTCACAGCTTTTTGAAAAAAAATGCTGTATGTATATATATATATATATATAAAGCTTTCATTTTGTCAAAATATCTTGACTAAAATCTTCAACCGAATGCAATGCTTTGTCTCGACGCGTTTACAACATGCATGCCAAAGTTATTTAGATAATAAATACTTTTAATAACACCTTTGTAACTTTGGGACAACATACATTAAAAAGTGAAATGAGAAGATTGTAAAACTACCAATTTAAAACGAAGTATGATCAAGAAAGTCTTCAAACATTCTACAAAGGTGTATAGGATCAAGTCATATCTATATATTATTAATTTCCTTGTCATGAATCATACAAATTACTTCCACATACCTTGCTCTCATTTTGCGCTTTTTATATACTTTAAAGAAAAAGAAATGTGCTTGATTTAAGCAAGCAAAACTATAAAAATTAAGGAAAAGAGGATTTCACTGATATTTCATACCCACAAAAATGACAAAATCAAAAACCAAAATCCGTATTACATGATACACACTCTTGCTCAAGGTAATAACTAAATTAATTTAATATTTCGGTTAACTAAAATAAAGATTTACTGTTCTTAATAACTGATACTACTCTGTACACATCTTAATCATTTGGAAGTCTGTTCTTCTGTCTGAATAACAAGGTTAAACTATTTGTGCTACATCCACGGATAAACCAAGAACAAAGTTCCGAAGCAAGGATTTTCAAATTTAGAATGTAGATTTTTGGGGACAAAGCTAATATGTTGAAGGTATACAAATGTAGTAAATGTAAGGTGAACACTAATAAACGAAATAAATGAATATTAGGTATTATTAAATATTTGTTTTATTACCAGACATTTATCTCCATTATGTAGTAATCACATTCACATAAATAACACTAATAAGGTTACATTCATGTCAATGATTACATTTCGGTAATAACATCAGAGATAACTGAGATCACGTGTCTCATTTTTCTCACCCGTCCATTTAGATACTGATGAAATCATTTATATTATTTACACGCTGAATTAGAAATGTTTCATTTCACCGCTAAGAATATATGAATGAGTTTCAAATAGGTCAATTCATCATGTGAATCGGAAGAATGCAAATCAGATTTTTCATGCGAGTGCGTTCAAAACACATTTTCGCACAGACATATAATATGAAATATTGGCTCTTGATTTCTAATTACATTTTTATATGTTATTTGAATTTTAAAAATCAAAACGCCTAGTACTTTCTTCTCATAAAGTGTGGATCTCATATTGTCAGTGTTTCATGCAAAGATAATGATAATAATAAAAAACATATATAATATATGTTTTTGAAGATGATAATTTACATGTCTCATGAATGATTAAAAAAACAGAAATTCCCAATCATTATCGGTTTTCAAAGAATTGTTCATAACAACATAATTGTGACCAATGCACATATTAACAGAGGTAGAAAATCCTATATAATTTACAATATTATCTGTAGTGTTATACTGGCACCTAGGAAGCCAGTGATATTTTGTCATTTAAAATTATGATCCTGTTGTTTCACAGAATAATAATAGTGTAAAAAGAAATTATAAACAACCACGGCGCATCCTTAGATAATACAGAAATAAACTATCATGAATTTCGGATCAAGAAATGTTTTACTGTCAATGTATTGGAATGAGAACATAAATCAAATGTATAATCATAACTTACTTGATAGTTTGAATTGTTAATGGAAAATCCAGCTTGAATATCTTATTCAGTTAAATGGATAATTCTGTATACATTCTCTATATTTGACATGTGATTTATTTAGGACTTTTATTCGTTAATTTCTAGTTATGAACAGCAAGAGTAAGTGGGGGAAATAAATAGTCGAATCTCAACAGTTTGCTATCGAGGGACAGCTTTTATTTCCTAATTACTGTAAAGTAGATTGTACAGATTGATAATATCTTGATAACACTAACATTCAATTCTCATTAATGAAATAAAATATGGCCCCAAAAGTCAATGAAAATCCCACTTGCATGCATGTGCTCCCCATCAAACTGAACGGAGTAGCCTTTGTATGTGAGCCAGAGCTACAGGGGCTTTGTGTTGACTCAACCTGCATGCTCGCTGTAGGTGAAGGGGCAGTGCATTGTGAACTGCAGAACATGACGCGAATCATTTTTCATATTTCGAGACCGAAATTGATATTTAAGGTGAATGTACAGTTACAAACAAGGGAACTCGATACTAATTTATACTCAAATGCAAAGTGATGAGCAGGCCTGGTGATGAGTATAAAAGAGATGAAAAGAGATCTCATATGAGTACATTTTCAACAAGTTCAAAATGGCGGGCCTGCAGCGCTCCAATTCATTGCGAATTACATAGTATTTCAGGTATATCGGCTATCCAATTTATACTGCAATATGATAAATAAATTCAATTGTTCAACTTCATTGCTTAGCTCACCATCTAATTATCAATATGTCTAGTATACTAAAATGTTGGTTTTAATGTTACAATGCTCATACGAAATTTCTTCCGGTAAATTTATACTTGCTGTGAGAATACGGATTCATTTAGGGAAATATCCTTTACCCTGTCAGAAAAAACGGAAATTGTTCCCGACTCAAAACACTATTGCGACACCCTTTACAACAGCATAATGATTATTTCTGTTTGGAAAATAAATGAACGTATTCTATCTAATTGCATGTTGATATCCAATGACACTGATTGGAAACCGTATAAGCATGCTCAATTTGTTACTTTCTGTCCAACTCATGATTAATAAAAGTGCATTTTAATGAAAATATTATATTATGATGAAACATGACAAATAGCAAGATATAACGATAACAATATCAACAAATATTATAAATGTTATATAAATATCAATAACGTGTAATAAATTGCACATTAAAATATCCAAGTCAAATTCAAAATATGTACCTTAATTTCTTTCCTATCTCACCTCATAAAATGTTGCGTTGAAGTGCGGATATATTCCTGCTTTTGTTCTGGATGTAATACAAGGCAGTCAGAAAATTGAAATCTAAGATGTTGATCGTAGGAAGGTAAAATAGTCTGGTATTCTGGCAAGATGCTTTTGAGTTCATGTGAGGCGATAGGCCAGTTTAACGACCGCTACACTGTAGGGGCAAAACGAGGGTCCAATCTACTCACGAACGTGACCTGGGCTCTGGATGGCCGTGTACATAGAACACATAGAGTGCGAACAGGTTATCATCCGGGCTCTCTTCAAATACAAGCTAGGAAACAAATCATATATTGCTAAGACCTAGCAGTTACCAACTACACTTGCATGTAGCTGGTAACCTCACAGACTCGTTATAAATGCCATGATGGTATATGAAAAGAACGCAGTATACAGGTTTGACAATTTATCGTCTGCTAGGTGGCGAATACACGCGTTAATGTGACTGCATCCAAATGCTCGTCTAACCGTTAATATGTCCCAACTTCCGATTGCTAGCTTCTATTATGTTTTACTTTTCACCCCTCTGTGTCCAGTGATCAATAGTAAAATTGTAGGCTCCCCAGCTGAGGTCATTGTTTGAGCAATGAGCACGTGAGACATCTATTTGACTGAAAACCCGCTTCTCCTTCAGCTCAGTCTATGTCTCACTCCAGCTTGTTTGCTCGCCGTCTAACCCCCAAGTTGCCAAGCAGACCGTCCATATACCATATGTACCCTCTACTCTTAACCAAGTGAGGGCGCTAGCGATTTGAAGTCTCCGACCCAATCTCGGTGTATGATGTCATTCTACCATGATGTCATTTTCCATTTTGGGTGTGTATTTGTAATGGCTTTCTCGACGTAATGTGTGTGCGTACGTGCGCGGAACATGGCGTTTCCATTGGATTCCAGTGTCAATTGCGCAGCACGGCCATATATCTCGTTTTATCGTCTGCTAGTATGCTTTGATCCACAATCAATGTGCCAAAAAATATGCCAAAGCTTTCAAAATTTTCCATGTGAATGTATGTAGTCATTCCGGATGTTTATTCCTTCATAATGTTATAAAGATGTGTGCGTGTGCGTTCCTTTCCATTGTTTCTTTTGACAGACTGCCACAGCCTTGTCGGTAACATTCCACTCTTTCGTGCTTCCATTTGCCTAAATATCTGCTACACTGAGCAAAAGGAAAAATAATAGAAAAATACTTGATAAATTACATTTACATATGCATGTTGTCTCAACGATGTGTTGTTAAGATATAAGGGGTCAATACATTTGCACCGTTCTATTCGGGAATGACGATAGTCTATGTAGCCTATATAATAACGCATCCCTTACGTTTTCTTGTTAATAATTTTATCATAATTATCATTATCATTATGGTAATGATTTTTTCTTCTTATTATTATTATCATCATTATGATTATTTGTTTCTTATTATTAATATCATTATTGTCGATGTTCGTGTAGTTTTTAATAATAGGCCTAGTGTTGATATTTATAGTAATAGAAATAATAATTATAATGATAATTAATTTCCCTTTCGTGGGTATAACCATTCACATTCAACCCGAAAGGTCAGATGACCCTGTCCTTTTTTCAATCACATAAGCAAACTGATTCTATTTTTCTCATGTCATCTTATAAAGTGGAGAACAGTTATATAGGGCGCACACAATGCCAAACAAACATTATCATATGATATCTGTTACAGTGATTAACCTGTCACATGATCAATCACTTCTTTCTTAGGTATGGGACAATTTTGCAGTCCACCTGAAAACCACGTGTTTGTGTGATGACTCCGCCCCCGCTCAAATGATAAGTCAAGTACAACGAAACACCAAAATTAACACCGAAGTATTATAAAGTATCTCTGGTTTCTCCATATTTTGTTTTATGTAAAACTATGTTTATACAAGTTCAAAATCCTTATCAAGTTTCGCCCCCAACATCCACAGGTAATAATGTTGATAAAACGTTATTGAATATCAACAAACCAACTTACCGACGTTTAAATATAACGTTTCACTCAATTCTCCGAAATATCTAGTTAGATGTCACTTATTTCATTAGTATGTTCTTCTCTTGTTATTTGTTTACATTATGTTAATTATGATTGTTGTGATTCATCTATTTTGTATTCTACCATGTAACAGATTTTGCGATTTGGCCTTTGATCGAAATGAAATGTTATCAATAAACCATTTCAATACTAAAACATCAGCAACGTCAGCAACAATAGAAGCATGATGATGTCAGAGCATTAAACCCAGCATCAAGAATCACTTTAGGAGAATTCGACCCTCATCAATGGACTGACACCCTTTTCATTTGATTCTCTCGAAGCGTATCTCTAGAAGAAATATTTACTGATAGACAGGCGCGTACGCAGGATTTTTTCAAGGGGGGGGGGGGGGGGGGGGTTTAACATTTATAAATCGGGCGAAAATTTCGTAACGACTCAGCCAGCCGCTGAATAAGCGGGGGGGGGGGGGGGGGGGGGGGGGGGGGGGGGGGGGGAGGGTAAGAGGACACTTTTTTTTTTTTTTTTTTTTTGGTCCCAAAAAAATCGCAACGACTCAGCCGACCGCTGAATTAGCGGGGGGGGGGGGGGGGGGGGGGGGGGGGGTAAGAGGACACATTTTTTTTTTTTTGTTTTTTGTCTCGAAATTTGAAAATTTGACATTTTGCTCCGTTGGGGGGGGGGGGGGGGGGGGTAAGGTCAGCTTTTTTAGGTCAACCATGGGAATATTTTTTTTTTAACCCCCCAAACCCCCCCCCCCCCCCCCCCCCCCCCCCCTGTGTACGCGCCTGCTGATAGATGTGAATATGTTAGAACAAATTGAATTGAAAGAAGCTTGACGCGATAAAGGCAGAACAAAAGTTTTAACCATGTGACTGTACAGATAGTTATCAGGGCACCATTCCGTTCATTCATAAACCCGTAATCTATTATATCATCACTAGCCAATCAGATGGCACAGTTCTCCAACGTCTACTGACGTCATCTTCGTACGTTCCATACTGTTTAATCAATGGACCTGAACAATTTACCCATTGACTGGGTGAAAACCAAATTCCTTCTCTTTTCTCCTCACTATCTCGTATGTGCCCACAGTTTCCCAAGATTTGTATATATAATACCGAGGATATAATCATAATGGAAGAAATCAGTTTTATGTTAAACAAGGTGATCACCGAAGCAATAATTCGAATTATTTGTTTTTCTTTTTTTCTTGCTTTGAGAGATTATCCATTTTCAGCTGAGACGAGTGATCCGGAAAACGTGCTAGTACTCCTCACTTCCGGAGATTACATGGGAAAAGGACCCCCTTTAGTTCAGATAAGTGCCCCATTTTTCTAATAGGTCTCCGTTCCGCATTATCATAAGTGCCCCTTACCACCACTAATTGCCCTATTAAAATCTGAGAGGTGCCCTTTTTACTTTGACAAGTGCCCCCTTTTTGTTGTAATAAAAGCCCTTTCCCCTTATAATGAGTGCCCCTTTTCACCTCTGATAAATGTCCATTTCATGTTGACAACTGCCCCCAAATGCCCATATCAAAATATGATAAGTGTAGCTTTACCTTCTACAAGTAACCATTCTCCTGTGTAATAAGTACTTCTTTTCCATTCTCATAAGTGTCCATTTGCAAGTGCGAGAAGTGCCTCTGTTCACCTCTGATAATTGCCCTTTTCATTTGTAATAAGTGTCCCTTTCCCTTCTGATAATATGTGCCCCCTTTTCATATCTCCATAATACGTGCCCCTAATTTTGAAGCTGCTAAGAGCAACTTTTTCTCGAATTTATAGTTGATGTAACTTAAGTTCCTAAAACTTTTTCAGATTGTGCTTAAAATCCCATCAGGATTCTGTTTTCCTCTTTATAAGATTTCTTTAATTTTTTGCTCGCTCGCAAATGAATATTCAGACCATCACATCCACCAGCAAAGTATGATGTATTGCCTAACCAGTGTCTTAAGCCATGTTAAGAGGAAATTCCTGATAGCGTATGAATCACAATATGTATAAAATATATATAATTGTGTATTATCGCTTTGAGGTCTCCCTTTGTAGGTGCCCCCTTTTCCCCCGGAAAGCGCCCTTTTTATTAGTGCCCCCCCCCCCCCCTTTGGAAGATGCTCCGGCGTCCCTGTTGTCTTACATATCTTCATGTGTGATTAATAAATACATATCGCACTAGTGGCAGTCAGCTGATAATTGCTGGATTGATTTGCTCGTTTCCTTATATCCGACCGGACTAGTTTAGAGCCAGATATTGGTGTGTAAGAAGGGAAAACAATCTATACAATTACATATTAAATAATGCGGTGAATACAGACACACTATTCAAACTTTTCGCTTTGCAATTATGAGAGTAACTCGAACAGAATGCAGAAACCGGGCAGTATATTTGCATGCGATTTGTTCCGTTTTTTCTTCCGTTTATATTATATCGTCTGATTTTGGCTTTCTATTCCTCCTTACGATTGTACTCTGATGACTGAGCGCAAGACGAAAAGCTTTTATATGTCTGTATTCTCTGTTACTTTTCGATTTCGTAGTACAAAATAATCTCTTTAGATATGAAATAAAAAAATAGAAATGAACTCAAATTGATAATCAAGGAATATATTAAGCAAAGAGGTTATGTAAAATATTTGTTGTTGTTGTAATGTTAAATTACTCTTCGACCACTTTTTGTAGATTTTCATTTCCCCCAAAATGACCTTTTGGCGATTAATAATAATAATAATAATACATATGATTTATAAGGCGCCAAATCCACTTGACAGTCAAATGCTCAAGGCGCATTTTGAAAGAAAAAACACTCCGCCGTTCCTGTCTTCCTAATACTCTGCAATACATAATTCATATACTGCAGTCGCAAATATGAAAAAAATATGTACAGAAGTTAATACTGATAATACCAGTCATATACGTAGCTCATGATTATACGATTTTATTACTCCATTACTTTTTTTCTTCAAAATACATGAAGTAGCAACAAATGATTTTTTATTTTTTCCTCATTCTTTTCTATTTACCCTTCCACACGGTTCCTTTATTAATTATCAAAATAATCGTTTCCACATAAGATCGATACATGCACTATTCCATGACTTGTCATAAAGATATTCAAACAATAAGATATTACAAAATAACCTCGGCCGCACAGCGACATATAAGATATTAAACTTGACAAAATATAATTTGTACCCCAATTCTCTTCAATAAAAACAAACAAGTAAACTGAACATAGACACTCATAAACATTTGATTTTTTTAAAAACTTAGCTTATGATCTTGTATATAATTATTGTCATCATGAATAACAATCCTCTTCACACGCCATGTTACAGAACATCCTCTAAAAGTGATGACATCCTATATAGGCGATCTGATTTTCGCCGCTGACTTTTCGAATAAGCATTCTCATCTAAAGTGTATTTAAAACAATTGAAACTGAAAACTCATCTTTATTGACTTAATAAATCATTTAAAAAAACATAATGGGCATCATAATTGGATGAGTGCAATGGAGATGATTGAAGACTAATGGAGAATAGCAACTTCTAAGACAATAAGCATGTAAACAGAGGGCCATGGAAGTTCGAAACGATATCAATTTGACATTGAGTGGAAGGGATATAGTGTAGAAAGTGATCGGAGATTATTGTCTCAACATGATTTTACTTAATATACCGAAAATGATACTTCGCACATATAGTAGCTAAATTCTATTAAAAATATTCCATTCTCCGTCGTTTTAGCTTTATAATCTCAAAGAAGTACATGTATG